ACGCTGCCAACCGCTGTTGGCGTAGCTATTTCGCTGAAACTGCTCACTGGGGTTGTTATAACCTGCCTATAACCTTCAAACATTTCGCTGTATCTTCAAAGATAAAAAGGTAGACATAATATAATAATAAAAATGAACATCCCTATAATAATTAACATCTCTGACTACCGCTTTTTTATTTGAGGAGGAAAAAGAAGAGAAAATGTTGTTCATAAAGAGAAGGAATATCAGTATTTCGATGTGATGCTCATCATCAAAGTCCCTCTGATATTAGATATTATTAGTTTGAAAAGTAATAGTAATTAATACATAATTGATTAGTAATAAATATCATATATTTGTAATTAAATCCCAGCAGGCGATGTTTTATAGTTTTATCAATAGTAATCAGTAAATCACCACTTTAATTAAAAAATACAAATCGATTTTTCAATATGTGGATTTTAGTATTTATCTGACAATAAAATTTGTTGGATTCTTTATTTCATTTAATATCGTTTGGATTTAGGTATATTTGTATTTCGTTGTAAAACATTGCTGGTGGAATAAATAAATAAATAATCTTGTTACTTCAACCATAAAAAAATAATTTACTATTGCATTGTTTCAGTTTTAAACGATATTTTTTATAATTTTGCCAGACTTGAAAGAAACATAGGAAATAAAGTGTATCGACGTGACGGTTATCATCAAAACAATGCTCTGATATGATAACATAACCTACAACCGCCGAACCGCCAACAGCTCCACTGCTTCAAGAGGAGTCAGTACGAGCAGCTTAGATATGACGTCATACCTAGACTGCCGAGCAGCGCCAGCGAAATAGGTTCCTTTCTATTCCACTAAAGCAGTGGTCAACCGCGAGCAGTCGCGGTCGTGGACCGCGCCAGCGAAATAGTACCTTAAGTTTTCCATTTCGGATGGATATGCAACAAACCGGGGTAAACAGCCCATTACCTTCCACCAGCTGGTCAAAATATCCCCACCACCTTCTCCCACTCTCGCCCTTTCCTTTGTTCTCTACGACAGTGGCGCTAGCAAACTCGGGCAAATTCCCATAAAACTGAGGCAAAATGCGGGAATTTGCCTCGATTTGCCTGTAGTGTGGGCCCAGGGTTACATACATAAACACACACACACAGGGGCCATTTTGTGAAACTTGGTTATTTGTTTAAGAGAACCTCAAAACGTGTATTTTCGTTAAAGTTTAGAATCTAAAATTTATACGATCGCAATACTTTTCCTTATTATGTATTACATATATAGTTAACTGAAAGTAAAATATTGCCAAATCTGTAGATGTGTTTTCATTTTCAAAATATTTATTCCTGAAATGATTTTTCCACAATTATGAAAAGGAAAATTGAATTATTTTATGAATTCAAATGTTCATTATTTTAATAATAGAAACACTTTCTCACATCACAGTTATTATATCTTTCAAAGTTTTTTCGGAAAGCAGTTTTTCTCCATACTAATTTGTATGATTCTCCAAGCCCATATGTAAGCTGTGGTGTCATTTCTGATTATCCTTAGTATTGTTTTATGAGATTGTTATTCTCCATTTGTATACAACATAACGTATTATAGCATAATATCTTGATACCACAAAAGCAATACTGCGCCATTCTTCAAACACCATAAACTTCTCAACAACTTCACTTTGTGTCAACAACTGCACCTACATGTTTGAAAATATTTTTAACAGAATGAAGATAAAAATAATGAACTATGTCTCAAAATTACTGTTTATGAGATAGCTAAAAAATAGTAATAACTTTACGAATACAAGAATCTAAAATAACGTATATCTTTCAAACATTAAATTTTTTTCATTATCTTTCATAAATATTTAATGCAGGGGTGCCCAGCCTTCCCAAGGTCGATGGCTCATTAATCTTCCCTCTCCCCATGTTCTGAAATTTTATTGCTCTCCTGTTCTTAAAAATAGTGGAAGAGAAAGAAGAATTAAACAAAATATGTAAATTACATTTGCTGTGGTATCATCCATGTTTTTTCTATTGTCTCCTGGTCAAAACTTTTCATTCCAAAGAGTCAACTTCGTTGAAATGTGACCCCCTCAAAAATTCAAAACTTCATCAAAATGACCTCTCGAAAATTTCAATTACACAACTGGTGCCATGAAATCCACATTTTTTGCACGCCCCACTTTTAATGTCTGTTAACTGGAATAATAAAAATAGATTAATTTCAAACCACAAGTTTTTGTCTCAGTCCACATGCTTCCCATCAAAGTTAAACGCAATAGCGTTTGGTGTTGCCATTATAAATTTTTCCTCTTACAATCTTCATGTCAAATTCAGCTTCTCTTGTCAATGAATACACTTATTTTACTTCAATTAATAACCATTATTATAAGTTTATATAAAGATTTTTGATCTTTGGAAAATAGATATCCTCGCTTATATTTAATTCAAAAAATGGCAATGCTTAATTTATATAATTATTTAAACTTTTGTCCTTACTCAATATCCTTATTGGCACAAATAGGTTTAACGTAAGTGAAGAACAGTTTCAGATTTATTTTTTCTTTCTCCAATATTCTGTAAAACACTGTTTCATTAGCTTTCTCAATAACTGTCTTATCAATCTTTTCGTGTATTGAGGATAAGGTTTAAAATCTGAAATTTCATATTTTTGAAAGAGAATAACATTATTTTGAAATAATATAAGTTTAGTTATTTTTAGAGACAACCTAAATTCATTGGTTTAGTAATTTATTGTGAATGGTGCATGTAGTTTAAAGTTCATATTGAAAGAAGCAAGGATTTATTTTAATGAAATAAATTGATAATTTTATTTGATATATTGATACACAATAAAAAAGTAGGATTTCAGATTATTTATTTTCTTAAAACATCATCAGAGGAATTTTAAAACAATTTAATTATTGACAACATACATTGGCCAGCAAAATTTTTCTTTAACCCATTAGTCGAAAATAAAAACAATTCTTTACTATATTTTTTTTCCTTACTTAAAAGCCTAAGAACAACTTTAATACCTCTGTTATTGCTTTTATTAAAAATATTTTCCTAACAACACATATGTATATTTTAGATAAAGTTTTAAGTACAAAATAAAAATTTTAGTGCAGCAAAAGTTTTCATATATATTCAAATTATAAAATATTTTATGTATTTATTTTAATCAAAAATTTTAAATTAATATTTTGGATGAAGTCTTTTGTATTTTAGTATCATTTGAAGTCATTTAGGAATTGATGGGATCAACTTCAAAGTCAATTGGGAGTATATATATGTAATAGAAATATATTGTACGAGAAAATTAAATGGTATTAAAAATCAAAGGACTTCATTCCAAATATTAATTTAAAAATATGGGCTAAAAGAAATTATTGTATAATGTGAATATTTACGAAAACTAAGGCTGCATTACAGTTCTTGTTTTATTGTTCGACAAATATAATAACAGTGGTATTAAACTTATACTTTGATGATTACATAAAAATATATATATATAGAAACTAAATGTTTTTATCAATTATTAAAATTTTAACCAATACATGTATGAAATCTTTTGCTGAGCACTGTACATAGTATCTATTTGGATAGTTGATAAATGCATCATGGTTATCTTTCAAGATTTCAATAGTTATCTTGGGTTGGAAATATCTTTAATGGTAGCATTTATACTTAATGTGACTCATTCATATTTTGATATTGTTTCAGCTATTTTTTTTTTAGTTATCTTCTTATTATAAATTATAAGAGTTTATATTACTATTAATATTTATAAATAAAAGAACTGATTAATTGTTTTTATTGATAATCATTTATGTTAATAATAAATTTGATAATTTTTTCGGCATTTATTAAAAATCAGTGGAAACTGCAGAGTGGCATTAGATATTTTATTGAGGTGTAATAGTTTGCTTCCTGTTGCAAGCATCCTCATTCAGAATCTCACAGTTGATTCTACATTAAGGGTTCGTATTGCTAATTTTTGTAGGTTAACATATTAAAAATTAAGTTTCAAAATTTATAGTATGTGCTTCGATTTGTGGTAATTAAATGAGTAGCTCTTGGAACAAATCTCGTGTTCAAATATTTTCTAATGAAAAAAAAAACTATAAGTACATATTGAATGACTTATTTACATCTTTGCAATTAAATGATGTAAAGTTGAAATTTGTAGTATCTAAAAAAACAATAAATGGAGTTTATCATCAGCATTAAATTTAGGCAAGAAAAATATTTTAGAATCTATGAACAAAAGTTTTAAATACTATATAGAAAATTTGTGGTAAATCCTAATGATTTCCTTATTTTATGTTTACTTAAATTTGTACAATATTCTAATATTTATTTAAAATGCTTTAATAAATTAAATAGTTTAAATACATTAATTTTATTAAAAATAGTTTATTGCATGAGGAAAGTAATGTAATTTGCTGATGTAGTAAATGGGACAAAAATTCAAAAATTAGGACAAAAAATATAAAAATTAGGATTACCTAGGTATTGATTTGAATTAATCAATTATTTAAATTGTTTGTTTAATAAACTTTGGACTGATTTTGTGGTATATACACAATACTACTCTCTTCCACTATTGTTAAATTAATTGTTTAACTGTTTGAAGTGATTAATAAACAAGTGGATTTAATTCAGGTTAATTATCCATTTGTTATGCTAATCAACTAACTGGATTGTTTAGAGAAAATAGAATACAAATATTAGTTCAGTATAGTTTACTTCATTAATTATAAAAACACTCAATTCAATCATGATACTTTATTTCTTTTTCTACATCAACGTTGCAGCCCTTTGGCCATGTTAATGCATTTTCTTTGATTTATAAAAATGTAATATCTAATTATTAAAAAAAAAAAGCAGTTTCTTCATACTTTAGAGTTTTTTTATGAGATAAAAATCTGGTCCATGTATTTTAGTAATATTTGTATCCAGCAAAAAAACATCACGAAGAAATAAAAGCTAATTAACATTGTTTTACAGCTTTCACAATGACCAGAAATATGTACAGACTTCTTCGGCGAGTTATAAAAAGTGGAAATGTTGCTATCGAACAGCGGGCAAGCTTTTATAGCCCGAAACAGGAACTTGTCACTCTTCCAGAAAATGTAAGTTATTATTTGTATTATTATTTTTTTAAACTTTAAATATCAAGTTCAATTAGATTTTTAAATGAAAATCTACTTTCTACATTTATAAAATTTTAATATGGTTTAAAATAACAAGAAAACTGAATATTATAAGAGGATACTTAGAATAATTTAGTGTATTAAAAAAATAATACTAATGAAAACTCAAGCCGATTTATGATAATAGCCTATTTTGAAGGTATGAATTTCATTAAATCAAATGTTCTTGAAGTTACAAAAATCATTTTTTGAAATGTACATTAACACTTAGCTATCGAATTTCATTCATATAAGTTTTTTGTTTTCCATTATTAATGAAGCCATAAATTAATGACACAACGGAATGAGGAATATCAACATTTTCTGCAAAAAAGTTTATTTTGAATACAAAAATATTTTTCTTTTTTCTCAAATCCAACAAAACTATACTGAAATTTAACTTAACAAAAACCAAAAAAACAAAATTGTATCGAAATATTAATTATGATACTCTTCTCTTTCTTGGTATCATTTTACTCAGGCTGTTATGTCCTTAAATTTAATTTTTTCATAATTTCAAGTCTAAAAAATTAATAAACTAATAGCGTATGGCATATACTAAATGATAAAAATTGAAAAAAATAATCTGTCACACCAATGAGGATGGGTATAAAGTGTTCATTTTTAGAAGAATTACTCAATTTTTTAAAGTTGTAATTACCTTTAGAATATTTGTTAATATGTTGATATTTAATTTTATGGTTCCCTAGGTCAGAATAGCAGACTATAGAAGTGATACTTTTTCAAAACCAAGTTGGGAAATGAGAAGAATGATGTATGAAGCTAAAGTTGGAGATGACGTCTATGGAGAAGATCCAACAGTCAGAGGTTGGAAAATAATCATTACACAACATTATTTAATACTTAATTTGTGCTAAAAAATTGTCTGACATTAAAAAATTTTAGAATTGGAGGTAAAAGGTGCCAAAATGTTGGGTAAAGAAACTGCTTTGTTTGTACCCAGTGGAACTATGTCTAATTTATTGGCCTGTAAGTATAATAAATTCTGAATCTAATCTTGGTTATCTTAAAAACGTTAATTCATCCAAAATATGTGGTCATAACTTATTTATTTATTAATAATATTGATTACAGTGATGAGCCATTCTCATACAAGAGGGTGTGAAATTATTGTTGGAGATGAAAGTCATATAATTGTCTGGGAACAAGCTGGCGCAGCACAGGTATGTGGTTGATCATGAACAACTACTTATTAATATAATTGGTATCGTTTCATTATTTATTATTGACCAAAAATTAAATTTACGATCAGCAAATTGCTTTGCAGTGAGCAAATTTTGTTAACGGCTTCGCGGCATCTCATAACAGGATATAAACTATCTCAGCAGATCACTTTTCCACTGCCTTTCTAATCGTCCTGATGGACTGTAGGAGTGTCTTTTGTGTTTAAGAATTTCTTTCAGTGAATTCATGTTGTAGGTCAGTCTTTGATGAAAATTGTAATTTTCTTTGGCAGTGTCTAAAAGTGTTAGGATATTTAAGCCCTCGTGTATTATTTCATTTGCGACAATGAACAGTGCATCAACTATCCTCTGCAACAATTTTGAAAAAACTGACTTATTTTAATATTAGAGGTTTTAGTAGAACCGCAAAGTTCTATACTCTAAGTCTAAATTTTAGTAAAACTTTATAAAGGATTAGTTTGTAAGTTATAGATAATTTTAAACGTCTGTCAAGTAATCTAGATAAAAGACTATCATCTTTTAAATTTGTATTTTTTTGTCTAATGTGAGTCCTCCATGTTAGTCATTTGTCTAGATGAAAATCCAAGTATCTAATTTTATCTGATTCAGAAATTTCCATTTTGTTGAATTATATTTTGGAGAAAGGTGTATGATTAAGAGTGAATACTACATACACACTTTTTTTTCGCTCATTTTAATTTTCCATCTTGTAGCCCAATCAGCAATATCGTTCAGATGATTTTGAAGAGTGGTGTATACTCAAACAGGATTTTTGTCTAAGTTAAGGATTTCAGTTTTGCCAACAAAAGTAACCAGAAAAGTGTTATTGTAGGTCTGAAATGTTATGATATGAATATTATTATTAAATACAGAACTTTAAATGTACTCTGAATTAAATTAAATAAAAATCAATGTTTTAATTATTAATTTAATTTATTATTAATTAATTTAATTATTAACATTATTAATTATTAATTTAATTTGAGTATTAAAATTTATCAAGAAGTTTAATCAAGTATAGTTTAAATAGTTTTTTAAAAGAGTAAAACATGAAAATTTTGTTTTTAAAAATTAAATACAATATTATTTACTTTTTTTATAGATTGCTGGAGTTCAACTGAGAACTGTACTAAATCAACCAGATGGGACTTTTGATATCAAAGATATGTTGACAAAAGTTAGAGACAACAACAGTATGTTTCATCCAAAAACTACTTTGGTGTGCATCGAGAACACTCACAATACATGTGGTGGTCGTATTCTTCCTCTGAATTGGATTAAAGAGGTATTTATGTTGCATTTTAGTTTTCATTTATGATGAAATCTAATTCTCTTGAATACAAATCAATTTTTTACTTTCACTTACCTGTATATACAATACATAGTAAGGGAAAGTGATGCGATCGTGAACATTTTTTAATCTGAGTTTTCAACGATATTACACATTTTAAGGTCCCCTGAGTTCAAATAACCAAGTCCTGCAAAATGGTCTGTGTATTTTATCAGTCTAGCTCAAAAAGAAAAGGTTGTATGAAACTAAAAATACATATTTAAATCAAGTATATATCTGGGATGTTACAGCAACTTTTTCATTAAAATCGACTTACCGGAAGTGCCACTTTATATCATAAATTTTAAACTTTTTAACAATTTTCTCAAAAACGACTAATGATTTTGATTAAACTCAGTGTATCAATGTACAATTAAGTAATCTTTAGTATCATTTTGGTCTTATCCCTTCTGACATCACTTAACAGGGCTTAAACAGTCAATATTCAAAATTTCTTCCTTGAAAGTACATTTAATTTGGTTTATTTTAAATAATTAACTATCTATCCATATTAGGAGTTATGAAAAAAGGCTAAAAATAAAAAAAAAGGCCCTCTGAGTTAGTTGGACCTAGGACAAATATATTTTTGAGAACACTATAAAAAAAAAAAAAACAATAACATTCTCATCAGATAAAGATGCGTTATTTATTTTTACAATGAAGTTATTATTCAATTAAAATGTCTCTTTATTCTTCGATGGTATGCCACTTTTATGAAATAAAAAAATTTAGTGAAAACTTGAACACCCTAAATGAAATACCATAAAACAGTGAAAATAGATTTAATGTGGTCAAATATCACTAAAAAAATAATACAGTACTATTAATATTATATGTATAGATTGTACGGGACACCAATTAGTTATAATAATAGATGGAAAGTCTTTGACCTTCCGTCCCACAATAAATTTTGTAATTTTAATTTTCATGTATGTTTGGTCTTTGGGCAACCTCAGCATATCTGCTTTTCAAATATCATAATTTATATTTTATTTGTTATAAATTAGTTCAACAACTTATGTGATGTAAACAATTTTAAATGTTTTACAGTTTTCATATGCATTTAAAATAAAATTACAATATAATGAAAAATATATGTGATGCAAGATCAAAGAACTTTTTATCTATTATTATATATTAATATTATATTTAAAGATCATTTTACTTTAAACATCATGATTAGTAAAATTATTATCCACAAAGTTAATTAAGTTATTTCAAATTTATTATTATTTCAAACAATAACTTCTGAAAGAAACAATGGAATATCTATAATAATTATTATGTATTCAATTTTTAAATAAAGTTTACATTGTTAACTTACTAATCTCAAGAAATTGTTTCATTATTTGATTTTTTAAAATTATATAACAGTTATTAAATGACTCATTACTTGTTCTTTTTTATGACACCTGACTCACTGAAAGCAATTAGATAATTTCCATGGTTCAACCACTGTTTAGTAAATGATAGCTATTTTATACTCACTGAGATGAGTTTTTATATTTTCCATGATGTAAAATTCCTGAACATAATCACAAGAAAAACTAAAATAATGAAAAATTTCATTGAATTGAAATATCAATCTATGTAGCCAATAAACAATTAGAATATGAGGAAAAATACATTTATTTAGGACGGAACATAAGATTGAAAAAAAAAAATGAACAGAAGGATAAAGCATGGATGGTACAAACACAGGTCACTCAAAACATTTTTTAGTAATAAATCTTAGCCAAAGTTTTGACTACTTGTGTATATCCTACAATTCTCTAAGAGACACAAACTTGGACTTTAACAAGGAAACTTGAAATCAGGTTGAATATTATACAGATGAAACTTTTAAGAAGTTTAATTTCAATCAAGAAGATGAGTTTTTATAGTATCCATGATATTATGCTGCAGACATTAAAGTGGTTGAAAATTTTCATCTCCATGAAATCACAAAGTGACCAGGAAAAAAAAATAAAAAAATAATAATACATAAATAAATAAACATAAATAAAATTAAATGCTAATCTTTATTTTGAAGTATATAATTATGAGACTAAGTATACTTAGTTTATGGTTGGAAAAAAAAGGTTAGGGAATATTAAATAGTATTAAAGGAAGGTAGTATTACGACTATGTATTTTCTGTAGATTTTTTGTTGGTAAAAAACTGTTGGCCCAATGTCAATATTTGACAGGCCAACACTCTAATAGTTTTCCAACATTGCAGACTATTTCCCAATGTTGGGCCAACTATATTTGCTCACTGGGTATTTATATTTGCATAATAGTTAGATCCATAAATTTTTAGAAAAAGAGGATTCCATTGGCCAAATTTTAAGCAATAAATACTTTATTATGAATGAATGAATGAATTTTTATTGAGTATTTATACAATAACAAACAACACAAAGTATACAAGCTCAATAAAAATATTTACAGCTTGGTTCTTAAAACCGACTTGGCCGTGGCAAAACAAGTATTATTGATACAATAATATAAAATAAAACTTACTATGTTAATGTTAATAAATACAATGTTAATGCTAATAAATACAAAAATACAATATATCAAATCTTAATATCACAAATATAAATACACAATACATTTTTAATATAGATATTTTAATGTGATTACATAAATAATGTTTTCCGCTTAAATATTATTCATCAACTAATAAGGCATAAGGCATATCTGTATTGCCAGGCTAATTTACAATAATTGGATAGACTTACCCATTTTTTTTGTTTAAATGTGCAATTATTTTTCCAAATGTCAGGCTATCTTTTCCAAAATATTTTCTCCTAAGTTCCGCCAGAATAAACCAAGAAAATGCATGATATTTTCTATTTCATTCCTATTGCATAATGAACATAATTTATTATTTGTTTCATAATATATCCTAAAGTTTAATTGTATTAGTTCTCCTCTGGCCTTAAATATCGATTTTGTTATTGTTTCATTATATTTCTTATTGAAATAATTGTCGACCTTGCGCAGAGGCAATATTGTAACAAATGAAGTTCTAATGAAGTGTGATTATTATTTAATGAAACACTTAATTATATTAGTGTCCTAAAGTAATAAAATAAGTTTTCAAACTAATGAATTAAAAAAAAAAATTGTGGTAAAAAATATTAGTAATTTATATTCAATACTTAATAAATGAACAATGTATTTAGTATTCTTGATTATTGAGTACTATTCTTTATAGTTTTATATATATGAACATTTTTAAAAATATAATTTTTTTTTTTAGCTTTCTACTGTTTTAAAAGATTTGCAAATTCCACTTCATTTGGATGGAGCAAGATTTTTCAATGCAGTAGTAAAATCTGGACTGGCACCTGACGTGATGGCAGAAGGTTGCGATACAGTAAACATTTGCTTGAGTAAAGGGCTTGGTGCTCCCATGGGAAGTCTTCTCATTGGATCGGAGGAAACAATTTTCAAGTAAGCATTTTAATGAAATATCAATATTTTACTCGTAATATAAGGCTAATATTGAAAAAATCCAAGAAATGTTTAATTTTTCTAATAACAATTAATAAATAATGACACTCCATAGGATTTGTAATTAAATAATGTGAAATAACTCATAAAATTTAGAGGAGAACTGTATTTTTTGTACATATTGAACAATACATGTTATTTTTATATTCTATTCCTTTGTTGGAGACAGAATCGAATCTGTGTGGATTGTGTTTGTATCATTGGGAACATAGTTCAATTCCTGGCTGAATGTTTCATTCTGGTAGAAATAGTATCCTGGTTCCTCATTTCTTACTAGACTCAACTTGCTAATTTCTGGTTCTATTCAAATTATTAAATTGGAAGAAATAGCTGATGTTGTTTCAAGTACTTAATAATCTTATTTCAACTTGTTAAATTTTCATCTGATTATTTTCCTTTTAGTTTATATTGTTTCTTATTAATTTTTGTATAATTTTCTGTCTTATATGTTGTTAGGTTACGTTTCCTTTGAAAAGTAAACAAATAGTTTCTGAACCAAATTATTTTTATTTTAGACAATAATTATTTTAAATTATTACAAATTATTTCTCAGGTTGGGTTGAGACAATAAATACTTCTTCTTCTCTTCTTTGTCTTTCTCTTATGCCATTAGTTAGTGTCTAGGAGCCTCAATCCAGCGTAACCACTCTTCCCGGTCCCTGCTTAGCCGCTTCATCTCATTGAGGGTTTTGCCTTTTTTACATCCAATTCTTTGAATATACTCTTGCTACGTGATTCTGGGGGACAATAAATACACATTCCTCAATTATATAATATAAAATCATACATTAAGTGTATATAACATTTATGAATTTCCATTCCATTTTGTCGGGATCTACTCTTGGCGTGCTGTCTAATTTTCACTATATAATTAACCTACCCTGTTTGTTCTGCAGTGAATCATCTTCCAATTGTTGTTGAAGGTATTGTTGTATTAATCTTCTACAATGTCTTTTAAGCTTCTATTTTCCTGTATTGACACTCACTACTTGTTAGTCACCTGTCACTCTCTCTTGGTCTCGATTATCTTTTCTTGCCAGCCGGTCACTTTCTCTCCCTTGCTTCCCTCTTTATCTGTCTTTCTCCGCCTCTTTGTCCATTTTTGAAAGCAATTCGTGACGTCACTGCTTTCCCGCCAATATTTAAAATCACTGTAATATTTACATTACAATATATATATAAATTATTGTACAAGAAGGTGATTTGACTGAGTTGTGCTAAACAGCTAGTTTTTTCTTCTTAATTAATTATTTAATTATGAGTGCCCAATTTATAAAGGCTGGATGTGGCACATGCGCGCCAAGGCTCTCTTGGCCCTAAGGTCGATGGAACTGAATAAATATTGTATCACTAACAATTATTAAAAACTACATTAGTTATATATTGTTTCTATACAAAATTAATAAAATATTAATCATATTAAAGGGCTCGTCTCTTGAGAAAAGCACTTGGTGGAGGAATGAGGCAGATTGGATTGGTTGCTGCTGCTGGAATATATGCTCTCGATCATATGGTTGAGAGGCTGAAAGAAGACCATGCTCACACTTACAACATTGCCAAAGGTATGGATTTTAGTGTTATATAAAATGTACTATCACACCAGAGAAAACAAATGACAATTTTAATCGACATTTGCTTTAAAAAATACAACAAAATTATTTGAACTACATAAAAAATAAATAGAGAAAAATTTAAAAAATCCTTTGAATCATTCTTCACAAGTATAGGGTTTTCATACATAAAATGTCTGATTTTTAAATCTTAAAATTTAAGGAAGATTAAAACGGTGTTTGTTGATTCTCAGAAAAAATGTTATCATCTATAATAAACACTTGCTAATCCTTTATTTACTAACATTATTTATTTGATTCCGAAGTTGGCATATATTGGGTTGGCAAATAAGTCCTTTCGGTTCTTTAGGGTGAAATAAAACTCAATGTATTATAGACATAAAATTTATTTTAATCTACAATATATTGACCATTATTTAATATGACTTTTTCTCATCTTTTCACTAACTGCATAATGCCAAGTGCATAGAATGTCTACAGTTTATTGTAAAACTGACCCAAGTGGTTTTTGATGTCCTCTTCCTTCTGGAATTTCTTTCCATTCATGGAGTTCTGCAGAGACCGCAATAAGTGGTAATCACTTGGAGCTAGTTCTGGTAAATAGGGAGGGTGGGGCAAAAAGGTCCCATTCAAGGCTCAATAATTTATGCGGGTGACCAATGAGGTGTGGGGCCTAGCGTTGTCTTGGTGGACTACAACATCCTTCCGATTTGCCAGTTCTGGGCATTTATGTTTAATTAATTGATCCAATTTTGTTAATTGTGAGCAGCATAGAGTTGAATCAATTGTTTGTCCTGATGGCAATAGCTCATAGAAAAAAACACCCTTGAAATCCCACCATATCCAACCTTTTCAAAAGTGGGTCGTTCTGTTGCCGTTTCCTCAGTGAATCACTAACAGAAATGAGTGTTGCCTAGTTGTCTTCGGCTAGAGACATTATTGAACATTTGTTCAGACTTTTCAAAGTTGGGATAGAAAACTTGATTAGACATTGCCAAAAGTGTACTGAAAAATATGACAAACATATTTGATTTGTTTGTCCATTTTTTTTTTTTTTCAATTTCCTGTTTCTAAAAGCCGTCATTTCATGTGTAATGACCTGATACTCACATTAAAAAAAAGTGATAATAATAATAAATTTTTAAACTGATCATTCCAATCCTAAAATTATTTTAAAAAGAATTTACTTTCATTCATTAATATTTATATATTTTTAAATTTATGATATATTTTAAATCAATATTTTAATTCACACAACATTCATAAATTTGTATATTTTAGTGTTAATCAGATTAATTTTCTTAAGTAGAGTTGTTGATATATTTTATAAATAACAATGGAATTGAATAATTGAAAATGTAATTTAAAAAATATTGTCGAATTTAAGTTTAACTTTGTGATTTGTATGATAATTAGTTACCTGCGAGTTGTATCTGAATTTTAGGTCTATGAAAATATGTTTTAAATTATTATATCTATTTTTAGTAAGTGATTTGTTCATTGAACAATTAAAATTTAGAATTAAAGAAGAATTATGAGATAAAAAATTTATTTGTTGACTACATTACTAGCTTCTCCTAAACTTTCTTCAATTTCTTGAATAATTACATCCCCTTAGTTTATATGAGGATAATATTTTATAACTTATTGAATTCATGCGATTGTTTCAGCAATTCATGAAATGAAAAGTGATGTCGTCTTTGTAGATCTGGAATCCGTTGAAACAAATATACTTCTGATTAAACTGGATACTACTAAGGTTACTGCAGATTTATTCTGTAAACGTCTAGCTCTGGTAATTGATTTTTGTATATTTTTTAAAATTATTATTTTTTCATTTATTAATAAGAATAAAAACAAAAGCATATTTCTTTTGTGCAGGTAACAGAAGACGAGATGAAAGGAAATGAGCCAGCATCTGTGAAAATGTTCCCTTGGAATAGCAGCACAGCTAGGCTTGTCGTATGCTGCAACAATACTCCGGAAGATGAACACGTGACTATCAAGAAACTTCAGCGTGTGATATGGGAATATGAAAATGGAATATTTCTTGTATAATTTTGAAATATTTATTGGATTCTCTTTGTGATATTCTTTATTATTTATGCTTCAATAATTATTAAGTTTTAATTAATTCCAATAAATTAATTTTAATTATGTATTATACAGTACAGTTTTTTACTAATAAGCTACAATTTATAATGGAAACTCAGAATTAACTAATGGTACATTATTTGTCAATATATATTGAGAATTATTTAATGAAACCATTCTATATAAACAAGGCCAATGTATGTTTAAAATCGGAAATATATATAATTAAATTATTTTGTATGATTATGATGTATAATTTTTATTTAGCAATAATTATAATTGATTTGTATGTTTTATCTTTGTATTAATGTTGTGACAGAATTCAATTTTATTTATTTAAAAAGGAATAAGAAATATTTTATTTATAAGATTATTTACTTGTTTATTTGTAATTATATAATTTAAACCATATCATTAATGTGTTTCATTATTTCATCATAAATATAATAAACGCTACCTCTTAATATTTATTTCTAGATCTGGGCATATCCAGAGATAGTTTTGGGGGAGAGAGAGAGAGAGAGTGAGAGAGAAGAAACTAGCAGGACGACCATAGTATTAGCAGAAATATAATCTTTGTCTATATGACATAATAAAACAAATTGATTATCTTTCTAGGATATGAATAATTTATTCACAGTTATTCATGAATCTTGGAACTAGCAAGTTTACTTTAAACAGCCATTTTTTTTCTCAATAATTATCTTTGGAAGGAAAATTTTCTCTTTTTCCCTTCCCATGTATCCACCACTGTTTTTAGATGCAGTATTTAATTATAGAAACATTATTTAAGGTATGTCATATTATTTGAAAAAATATACTTTTTGTATTATTTTATACAAACTTTTGTAGGTATCTTTCTAATAAAACAATTAAACTAAAACGTACTTAAAAGTTCAGTTCCATCAAATATTAGCGACATTTTACAATTAAACGATTCTTGTAGTTATTTCTCAAATGAGTGGGTGGTTTCCGATATTTATTTTTCAACAAGTATCTCGTTTGAATTCTACAAATCCCACTTCAATCATTTTTAGGGATAATTTCATGTTTGAGGCCATGGTGTGCATTAGGGCAGCCTCAGTATTGTCAGGTCTGAAGCATTTATGATTCAAATATGGTTTGAGGGATTAACTTTTATTTTATGACAGATCCATCGCATAATTTAATTCTTCTTCTTGTTCGGCTCGACAACTCGTGGTGAGTCAGGGCCTACTGCAGCATCGACCGTCAGTCATCCCGGTGTATTGCTGCTACTTTCCAGTTCCACACCTCTAAGATGGACAATGCATCCTCTGCCACTCCGTCAGCCTACCGCAGTCTTGGCCTGTCAATTCTTCTCTTGGAATATATCTTTTCTTAATTAATATATTACTTAATTATTGGCAAGAAAAGTTTTGTGAAAAGCTTTAACAACATTTTTATGTTGCATGTAAGTTAAACAACAACTGGAAGTTTCTCAATTCTTTTCAAAAATCGAAACCTGATATTTATTCAAGTGCTCCAGTCGCAGAGAGAGCTAATTGAAAATAATACTATTCCTACAAGAGTTATCCACTTTTTAATTATAAAAATACTTGTGATAATAACAAGTATGCGAAGCCTTCCGAATATTTATACAAAAAAATATATGTCCCACATCTTAAAAAAAATTCTAATTTAGGACAAGAAAAAATCTTATTTTGTACATTTTTTAAACAAATGCAACAACTACAAAATTGTGTACACATATGCATCCAAAACAGATAACCAAGTGGAATGTTCAGTCGTTATAGAAAGTGAGGACAAACTTCCAGGAGAGTGCTCTATCTTTACGGGAGAAGCCATGGCCATAAAAGAAGCACTCTTGCACATCCGCAAAAATCGCTTTCAAAACCATGCTATCGTAACATCGTAACAATGTCTGTTATAGAAGCCATAGAACAACCAACAAACCAGCATCGTGTGATAACAGAAATATTTAACACATACGGTTAGCTATAGTAAGAAAATAAATACATAATCCTTATCTGGATACCCTCATATTGTGGTATCTGAGGTAATGAGAGCGCGCCGATGCTGCTGCCAATTCCACTCGTCATCAAGAATCTCCGAAAACCACAATAATTAAAACCATCCATCGAGAAGATTGGACACACCGATTTCCTTCTCCTTTCAAAATAAATGGAACAGGGAATGAGAAATGAGTCCGGCAAAACTTCAAGAAAAAAAAAAAATGTATAAAATGGAAAACATCAAACCAAAAGTCTAGACGAGAAGAAATAATACTGTCGCCTAAGAATCGGACACAGTGAATTTTCTCATGGATACCTTCTGCGAGGATTCCTACATATATTGAATGTAGTAGGTACACTGATATAAGGAAAAATCTGCAAGCGGGAATGGAAATGAAAGAAATCCTGCAAGATGAGGAAAAAGAAATAGGAAAACTGTTAAAATATATCAATTTTTATCAAAGAATATAAAATCGAGACATTGAGCCAATGATCCTTAGGGGTAGAGGCTAAATAAACGAATACAAAATACTTGTTGATCCTGAATTGACTGCAAAACAGCATGATAAATGTTGAATTTCAATGTGGCTCATGAGATTGATAATAAAAAATCTGAAATATTTATTGTGGTGTAAAGTTAAGAAATTATGTTCAGTGGCAAAAAATTATCTTTTTGGTAGACTTTTAATTTAATGTTAATTTTAAATAATATTAATTTTACAGAGTTAGGAAAACTGAGGTTGTATACAAGACATTGTCTACATATTTCATGTTTTACGAAGTTAAAAAGATATATATATTTTTTTTAGATATTAAAATTTTCTTCAACCTTTGAAGTTTTTAAATCGTTTTTTTGTCTCTTTTATACAGAAAGGAATTAATAATAATCTTTAAGAGGTTTTTATTTATTTTAAAAATATTTGTCTAGTGTTCTATTAATTTCTTTGTTGTTTGTTGTTATGTTTTATCATGTATGGCAAAGTTTCTCCATTTACTAGATACCACTGTCTTTTGTTTCTCTCTCCCTCTCTATTTTCTTGTGAAAGAAGAGATCCAGAATAATACTTTGTAGATCTCAAAACATTTTCAATATATTATTGGTTATTTCAATTATTTGAAAACAAAATAATAATGTGACATTGTAAAGTGGAATCTTAAAGAAATTGAGAATTAAAAACTATTATATAATAACTGTTCATTCATAATAGCTGAATTTTGTACTCAGCCTTTTATAAAATCAATTTTTTTGTTTGTTTTGTGTTTTCTATTGATCATTTAGAATTCATTGAAGAAAAAAATAAAATAAACTTCATAAAACCCTCTATTGCTTTAATATAATATATAATTACATATATTCTATAAGTAATAGATATATAAACAATGGAGTATTTGGTTTGATTCATTATAAAAATATAAAATATAATGTTATTTTACTGGCTGTTCTAATGATGTTTTAGTATCACTTCAAGTCATTAATCCGGCCATGCCATTTTATTTACTTTTGTTTTTTTTTAAACTCTAAATATATCACAAGGAATTACAATTAAGACAAAATACAAGAATATTAATAGTTATATCCAGCCGACAGACAAATCACAAGAAAATAATCACAAACAAAAGCAATAAGTATCGAGTAGTCGCCATGGTCAGTGAGAGATGTTGTGGCAGCATTGCCAAGACAAAATTAAGCATTAAAAACTTACACATGTTACATAAAAATGCAGGTTAGTATATAAAAAAATACACAAACATGAAAAGGGAAAAATGGTTTATTATTGGTCATATAACACACAAAAATGTACAGGTTGTCATTTTATGGCAATATTTTTGTACATTTGACAAGGAGTGTTTATGCAAAATTAATTTATGGCCAAGTAACTATAATTTTTTTCTCATTTTTTTTGTTCTTTTTATATATAAAATATAAATATTTGGTAGATTAACCTAGAGTTTGAATGCTACATTAAAACTAATCCATTTTTTAAACCTAAAGTTAGAATATTAATATAAATTTAGTCACAGCCAATCATTTTCATATCGTATGAAAACTCATAACAAAAGTGATTACTCAGGTGATGTCAGAAAGTCTTCTGTATCATTTACAAATGAAAAATGTAATAGTAATCGAATAGTAAACACCAGATATGATTTGCAATTTGATTCAATTTGTCTCAATGAGTTATAAATATTCTATATACAATCAAGAGTAGTATACACTGTCTACATCTATGATCTACATTTCCTAGTTCCAATACGGCATAGCACCATGTCTAATGATTGTGCATCTGTCTAGGATCCAAAAAACAATAGGATAATAGAAGTAAAAATATATAAATAGTTGTTTAACACAAAAAAAAAAAATCATTCTAAGTTTCTGACTACTCTAGAAATAAATAGTTACAATAATAAATAAAAAATAAATATGGTAGTAACCTACCACGCGAACAACACACAAACAAACACGCAAATATATTACAAGCATTATTTCCTCAATTGTTTAATTTTCAATTAGTGTTTTATATATTTTTTTATAAAAAATAATATAAAGAATATGAGAATGAAAAGATATGTACTTTTTGTAGCTTTAATATCTTCTGAAATTCTGTGTACATTAATTACCATGTACTTATTGCTAATTGAACACTACCTCAAATCAATTATTATTATAGCCTTCGCCAACATTGGAAATATTTTGCCACATTTCCTCTGACTCGAGTTTTCTTATTTTCATCTTTAGGAGATCGTAGAAAATGAGCAGAGCTTCTTCTGCTACTTGTTGGATTATAATTGCAACTACATTTCACGAGAAATGAAATGGATGTGTTCCCGTTGATATTGTAACAGGATTCACATACGACTTTTCAATTCTTTCTGGCAACGTCACGTACGCCGCACCTGGTAGTTGTTTGCAGTGTTTTTTAAAGATTCCATGTTGGCATTTCGCAGTCTGTCTCTACTCTCGGGACCTTCTTCGAAATGTTTTAACGTCTTCTCAATAGCTCTTAACCTTTTCGAAAAGCACGTAGTCTTGAGAATACCGACCTGTAACAAATTAATTTTCATTAAAACTACGGGAAAAAAAGTTTGATTTTAATAAAGCTATTAGTAAACTAGAATAAGATTTTTATTTTTTAAAGAGTTTCTTTTTAATGATTTTAACTTTCTTAAGCAGTACACCTTTGCTATTAACAGATTGTTTTCTGTTAGTGAAACTTAGTATCAATAGTTATTAATACAAAACAAGTATATTATGTGAAGCTATTATTAGATGCTTATACTTTAGCTTTTAAAACAAATAATCAAAATTATAAAGATAAATAAATCCATGGCATTACCTGTAGATGATGTCCAAGAGGGAGTATCGCTACCAACCACCAAGCCCATGCTGGGCCATTTTCTAAACTGTGCCAGTTATCTTCAACTTCCGGCATTTCACCAAATGTTCCAACGATTTTCCTTTGCATATCTTGAGACATTCTCTGGAACCATCTGAAGCCTCTTTTCCGTACGCGATCATGGAGTTCTTTTACTTCTACAATTAAAAATTCTTTTATTAGATTCATAAGAGTTAAAAAGAAGAAAATAAAAAAGAAGGAAGAAAAACAATGTTATGTTTTTAATTGCGGTATTTTAAGACAATTTATCAGCAATGAAAAGTTTCTTTTAATATATCATTTCATTATTTAATCATTTAAAAAATTACTAAAGCAAAATATAATAGTGATGTAGAGATGGTTGACCGTTGATATAATATGAGAAGGAGTTAATTGGGGGGTGCGGTTAAATAATTACTAAATTAAAATATAGTAATTATTTTAATTTTTGCTGACGTTTCGACCCACTTTGCAGGTCGTCTTCAGGGCTACAAAAGATACAAAACATGTTGAAAATAAAAAATAAATATGAGTAGATAAAAAATAAGAAGAAGTTGTCAGATATAGAAATAAAAGATGATATCTACTCATATTTATTTTTTATTTTCAACATGTTTTGTATCTTTTGTAGCCCTGAAGACGACCTGCAAAGTGGGTCGAAACGTCGGCAAAAATTAAAATAATTACTATATTTTAATTTAGTATTTATTTGACCGCACCCCCCCGATTAACTCCTCACAAAATATAATAGGTTTATATAAAAAATAAATAAAACATTCTAGTTCAATGTATTAGTGTAAATAGATATAGGAAGATACTTATAATAATATTAAAGTTTTTAATTTGTTCATTTAAGGACTTCAGCCACTAACAAGGATAACTTCAAAATTTATTTTGGATATTTTATTCCTTAAGTATTATTCTGGTATAAATAACATATTCATTTTTAGAAAATTAAAAATATTTGGTTAACCGTACGGTCAATAAGTAGTCACACATTTTTATTACTTTATTGTCTTTTACTTTATTTAAAATTTTAATCTTGAATCTTAATCGAGTAAAAAGTATACTTAAACTAGCCACAAAAAATGCACTGATTCTTCGCAGCCAATATAATTTATTAATTTAAATAATGAAAGTATAACTTTTATAATTTTCTTGTTTTTCCATTTGTAATTTCACTGTATTTATTTGTTATGAAGACATTTAAGATCACTATTTAACGAATAATATGGGTCATGAATTTTTAACTTACCTTGAAGAGAGTGACACGAAATTGGATCATCTTGGATGAATTGAACTTGAGCAGTGTCGTAGCCATCTCGTTCACTCCGCGATATCACACGGAATCTTCTCACGCCGACACAACTGAGAATGGAACAACCATCATTGAGCAATACCCAGTCCTTGATTTCAAGAATCGTCCCATATTCTGCATATCTAAAAAAAGTTAAAAATATGGTTTTAAAATAATTCATTGGTACAATGGATGGGTCATAACAAAATACATGAATAACAGATACATGAATGTCATTTTATTAGGTTACACTTTCAATCAGAGCTTGAAATCGAAAAAAAAATGTAATTTTTAAAACATTTCGGTAACACAGGAATTTTTATTGTCAATATTTTTTCAGTTTTTTGGAGCTAGAAGGTTTTTCTCTTTCAAATTTTCAAGTAAAGGTTTTACAGATATTTTTTTTTAACAATGTTTATTTTAAAATTATGTCGATTTCACTAAAAAGAAGATCTAAAAATTGAATTTTATACATAGCTACTCAAACAAACAACACAGTATGAATAATGTATAATTCACTTAAGGCAAATGATAACTTTAATCTAAGCCCAATTACTGTTTATTTTTCATGTAATGGAACTTTTTTTAAGAGCATGAATAAATATAAGTTAAACTTTTACCATAAACCAGGAACTTTATTACAAAAAAATTCCTTAGAACTTTTATTTTGAGAACTTTTTTTCAAAACATTTACACAGAAACTGTTAAAATAGAAATGCTTAAAAAAGCATTTTTTAATTTTAGTGCACAGTCACTAAATGCAAGACATTCTGTAATCCAGCGTATCTCAAGATTATATTAAGTATTAACACTTTTTCTCTTTACCGAAAAATTTGATGGCTAATACAATGAATATTTCATGATATTAGAAAATAACTAATGATAATATAAAGCAAATCTACACATTAATATCATTGAAACCTTTCCCTCTCTCTGCTAATCAGTTTAAAATTTTTAACTAAAATGTTTATATAATGTCTTTTAGTTAATTAAAAAAACAAATGAATGCTTTGAGAACATCTTAAATTAATTTCAAATGAGATAGTTCCAGTTATAAATAACTACCTTGGAAATACAGGAAGATATTAGCACAGAAATGTCTAATTCGGCAGGAATCTCAAACTGATTTTTTTTCCATATAATTATAAACAAATGAATTTCTCAATCAGAATTAATTAGAGTAAATATTATTAAATATGATGCAAAATTTGTTAATTCTTTCCCTTTAAATTAGTATAGTTATGTTATTGTCTATTTTATGCTAATATTTATTTTTTAGAACTCGACCTTATCGGTTTTAATTAACATGAATAAATGAGAGTGTGCTATAATGTAATGGAATTTTGGATTAATATTTTAATATTATATATTCAAAGTTGTATTAATAAGAAAAAATTTTATACGTTATATATTAATATAAAGTTATTATTTAGCAATTTTTATTTATTTAGTATCATTAAAATTTTATATTTTTACGAAAATTACTTTTTAAACATTTAGATCCATTACTATATTTTAGAACATTAAACGTTATGTAAAGGCATAATGAAAGAGGATCCTTATATAACAGCCAATGCTAACAATTATATAATTGATTTCAGCCTCTTATATACTCAGCCTTTGACCCATTTGTGAAAATAGGTCTCCACTCATATTAGCCATTTATTTAGAATATGTTAAATAAATAAGAAAAGTAATGTTAAAAATTAATAAAAATAAAATAAAAATGACTAGATATTTTTAAATTACCATTTTAAAACTGTTAAAATTTCTGTTTCTACGTTATTTTTCTGATTTAATAAAATTCAAAATATGAATTGATATAATTGTAAAAAACAACTATATACAGACCATTTAACAATAAATAAGTTATGATAATATATTTCTACCCTACAAAATCATTCGTAAAGTCTTATATTTTCACAACGAAATGCAGTATTTTTTAGATATTTTATAGATTGTACCGTTAAGAATTTTATCTTTTAGCATATTTAATTATATGTTTGGTCAAGAGAATACTTAATTTTAACATAACTAGCTTTTAATCTCAGATTTGCTCACAAATATTTTATATCTGCCATTTTGAGTAATCCAAAAAGTAATTTTTAGGTTAGACAGTTTTTTTAATACTTTTTTAAATATATCTTTCTTTTATTTTGTAGAGAATTCAATTATCTTTCAAATGGATACCTACGATCTTCTAGATGTATAGTTTTCGAGTTATATCAAGAAATATTTTTATTTATTAGAAATAATTATTTTTAACAATCTAAAGTACTTTTTTTTTTCGAACACATCCTAATGTACATCTATAAGCATAAGTGGAACTACTATTAAAAATTTCCCCTGGATTTTGAATCTTTCCATGAAAGAATTAATTTTACTGTTTTTTTTATTACTAATAGTATAAAATTAATATTCCAAAAATTTAATGTGATTATTAAAAATCAATGTCAATAGCCTAATTTATAAGAGTAAAACAGAAGCTTTCATTACCTTTTTGCACCACTAGGTTGATGGGTGTATGCAGCCATTCCAAACTGTCTCGATCCACTTTCGACACACCTACGGATCATCAATCGATACCGTGGCTCGAACACATACAGAGGGCAAGATACGGTTGGATAAGCTGTTGTGCAAACAAAAACTGGAATTTCTGGAACACTTGAAAGAGCAGCTAATTCAGCTCTGTGACTCGACAGCCTGCAATGATATTCCGCTGGAAGTCCGATAGACAGAGCCACTTCAAGGAAAACTGTTACTTGCCTTTCACTGCTCCCAACATACTAAAATAGATCAAACAGTATTGTTATTTAAATTGCATTGCATTGCAAGACTAACAAAAATTAAATTAAGAATATCCAAAACAGAAATTAAATGCATTATTATATTCAAATAGTAAAAACACTTAATTATATTAAGTTTTCTGAAAAATTATTATTTTATTATATGAAATATATTAATAATAAAAGGCTTAGTGAAGTTGAAAGCAGACACCACCAATCTCTATTTACACGCTTCTCTTAATCAGTCATTGTATCAAATATAACTAAATAAATTTTGGATAATCTCAGATCGTAAATAAATTTAAATAATTAATATAAAAAAAATAAAAATTGTTTATGCTGTTATTTTTTTTTAATGTGTAATAATTAAAATTAGATTTATTCATGATTCCCGAAATCAATTTAAATCTTAATTTTAACAATTACTGAAGAATTAGATATTATTATTTAATATTATTTTAGTTACCTGCGATAACGAAGTCATACACAGTGGACAATTTGGGCTGTAGTCCAGAGATCTATCTAAACATACAGCACAATATGTGTGACCGCAAGGTGTTGTCACCGGTCTCCACAGAGTTCTACAGCAGAGGACGCATTCGAAATCTTCTGGGTCTATTACATCGTCTCTGTTTTGAAGCATTTCTCTTCCGAAAAATTCAATTTCTGAAAGAAAAAAAATAATAAGAATTACAATAGTTATAACAACTTAAAAAGTTGAGTTACTTTAAAACTAGTATTTTAATTTATAAAGTTATTGTAAAATTAGAAATTCTTACTTTTTGTATTTTCGATTTCTTGTAAAATTCTATCAAGAAGTAGATTGAGTTTTCTGCTTTCGAACAATGGAAAATTTGAAATCACTGTTCTATTAAAGCTCTAAAAAAAAAAAGTGAAAATTTATTGTAAATATTTTATTATTATTTGTTATGTACTATTGTATAATATTTATGTTCATTAACTTACTTCAATAATATCATCCTCTCCAGTTTTGGCATTGGGTTCTAAAGGTGTAATATAGTTAGAAGACCACCATGGTGAAACAGGAACTCTTTTTGATGTTGGGGAAACAAGTTTTTGAAGAATCTAATAAAAATAAATAAAATAAAATTGAAAAAAATGATATTACATTAAGAAAATTGTGTTTGATTTTTTTTTTTTTAAACTGAACTTTACCTTTATAAATTCATGTTTAACTCTATCACAGTTCTTTTCTAAAGCTGCACACAAGGCAAAAGAAACAAAGGCATCTTCGTATTGCCCAAGACTAGTTAAAACAACTCCTTTCCTATAGTAACCCTAAAAATTAATAAAAAAAAATACAATTATAATTTAATATACATCAATCAATTAACTATCAATAAATGTGTGAAACCATGATACTGTCAAAACCAAATTTTTCAGGAGATACAGAAAATGATATTTTCTATGCTACATTTTTATCATTATGGGGATTTTTTTTTAAAATTGAACATAAAACATAAAAACATGAAAGAAACATAAAAATCAAATAACACTAAATCAAAAAATTATCTTGCATTGTTTCACACTCTTGCTGATAATATGTTCATCAATATCAAAGAACAAAATTAAGATATGATAAGGCACGTTGAATAAGACATTTTAGTTTGAAAGAGATACGGATCGTAAACTACTGTTTGTAATCCTCAATTATTTTTTCATCCAGTTTAATTACAATAACAATTACTTTTTTTGATAACGGAGATATAGTTGATCACAGATGTAATCAAGAAGATGGTGGAAGGGGGTGTGGTCAGAAATAAAACACAGTAATGCAATATACTGTATTATGTGAGAGCCGAAGTTTCGGCTTAAGTTGTGGGCCTTCATCAGAGCTAAGAAAAACAAGACACAAGAATAATATAGAAGATAAGAATAAATAGCAAGATTACATAGTATAAGTGACATAAATATTTAAGTGTTCTACTAAAAACAATATAAAATTTGAAATAGTAAATACTATTATGTAATAGTATGGGGTAAGAAAACTTAAGGGAGGAAATATAAAACTGAATTGAAAACAGAGACATGAAAAAACTTCATATAACTTGTTTTTCTTAGGCTTAGTGAAGGGAACTGAATCAATATTTGTATTTTATTATTACTAATTTATGTTAATTTAGGATTCTCCAAGATATATAAATTAAAACAACAATCCAACTACTTTTGTTTTTATAATAATTTTTGAATAAACAATTATGAATGTTAATTGAAACTTTGTCAGCTTGTTTCTACCTATCTAAAAGTTTGGTAACGATTTTAATTACTTCTTTTATAAGGCAAACATTTCTTTGCTTGTTTTTTTTTTTAATTGGATTATTTTGAGTGAATGAATGAAACTAATTTGTTCTAGATTAGCGATGATAGCTCACCTTAGACCAAAATGGCCTCATCCTTGTTGCTTTTGTAGCATCTTCTAAAGAAAGTTCTAACCTGTTGAGCTTGTGGAGGACTTCAGACCTGGCCTCAAGCAACAGATGATCCTCACCACCTGTAACAATATAAAGCCAACAATTAGAAAACTAAAAAAAAATCTCTTCCTACTAAACCATAAAATTGTTTATATTTTAAATTAAACTACAAATGGAAAAACAAATAATATGTATATATTTAATAGTTAAAATGATGTTTAAAATGAATATTAATGAAGGAGTTTAGTCGACTGTTCTACATATAATCGGTGATAAATAGTCAGGACGAAGTCATTTCAAGATTTTTATTATTGCCAAAGTTTCAACCAAAGCTTGCGGGTCATCATCAGGGCATGTTACCTTCAGTGCTGGTAGCAGTGGTATCCTGGTGATGACCCACAAGCTTGGGTTGATACATCTATATATACATTTTCACTATTTAATGTATGTCAGAGTGCAAGGAAGTTATTATAATCCAATAAAATTTTCTGTATCAGGCTTTAAGATATCTTTATATACCAGAAACTCTCAACTCCACTCACACTCTACTCCCAATTGGTAGAAAAAAAAAAATGCATTTTCGGCCGTTTTTGGAGATCTGCACAGTGATTGACTGGCATATGATTTGGACTGATTTCATTGATTTTTTTTTTAAGGGGTAAAGAACCCCCCCTCCTCACCACGTATTAGGCCCATGATGAACTCCAGCGCACAATACCCGAAAAACCTGTTTGTGTTTTATACTGAAGAACCAAAAGGCCCTAACGAATTTGATGACATCATCTTAAAGGCCATTTTGCCCAAAAAAAAAAACAGAAAAAGAGGCTGTAACCAAAAGTAATTGTATTTGGGCAAAACTCAAAAATTATACATTTTATGTAAAATTTGATTTAATCACTTAAAAATTAATTGAATTTTCTAAAAAATAAAAATCATGTAAGAATCTGAATCATGCATGTACTATGTATTGTTTTTAGAATAACTCGAAAACTATACATATCTTGCAATATTCCAGTTGCTCTTTCTAAAGGTTTTTAAAAAATAAAATTTCCAAAAAAAAAATTAAATTAATTAGATTAATATTAGAAAAGATGCAATAAACAATTTTTGTAATACACTTTGCATCTAAAACGCAACAAACATTCGTGTGAATTGAAACTCCACATATTATGATTATAAATTGTGTTGTTGTTACATGTGTGAATTCAATATTTAAAAAAAATATATTATTTAGTTTATTAAATAAATCACTTTTGATATTAATTTAAGGCCACTTTGTGATGTCACACATTAAACAGGAAGTCTCTATTTTATATTTCACGATGTCAAGTTTTTTTTTTTGTTTTTTTTGTATGTACATGATTGCATAAATAAAAAAAATATGAGTAATAATTAAGAAATAAATTAAACTGTTAATTAAAATCGAGGAGTTAAAATGAAAACTTGAGTATATTGTGATAAATGTATTATAAAAAAATAAATAAATTAAAAGGAACAATGTGAAGTAAAACAGAACAATATGGACTATTCCTAAACAGGGTGGGAGCAAGTTATGTAACGGGTCAGCTGTTGGGAGGTCACCGCTTTAGCAACACTGTCCCCATCTCAGCCTGTATCTTAACAACTCGCCTGTCTTCTTTCAAAATTTAAATATATTATCTCTTTGGAATCATTCGATAGCTGACTTTTCATTACTGATTGACAAAAAAAAAAAAAAATGATTGACTAAAGGCTTAGATATCTCACTATGGAAAACACACAGACTTAATTAACATCGACATTGTAGCTAATCCAAACTATTTCATTTCTCTTGATAGCGATGGATAAAATATCAGAAACAATAATTCTAGCATAGCGAGAAAAAAAATTATATATTTGTTTGTTTCATAGTTCGTGAAAACGCGTCAAAACTCGCATTAATAACCAATAGACAGAATTTATAGTTTGTAATAAACAAACTCTGGATTGTCGGATAAAATATCCAACAAAAAAGTTCATTTGATGCATAGGCCTATTCTGAACGGAAAAGGTGTTAAGAGCAATTTTATGTTTTTCTTAAGATAGTCCCATTTTTTATTGAATAAGAAGGAATTGCTTAAAAACTATTCAAGATAATGAAATTCTAAGTACTTCATCGTGAAGTAGATACAATTTTTCTTGAGATAACAGTGATTAAATTTACTAAGGTCAATGATAGAAAGGACTTTCAGGAGATCATATCGCTGTACAGAGATATGCTGCTTGTTTATGGGTACTGAAACTGTAATCTAATACATTGGCCGTATTAGACCACATGAAAGTTCTTTTTATCATTGATTTAATGAAATTTAAAGTCTCTTTTATCATTAAACTTACTAAATTAAATATCTGTTTTCTCCAAAACATTTCGTCTATTTTACGATGGTGTTCTTGAGTGTGAACAGTTTTCGAGCAATTCCTTCCCTAGTTATTATTTGAAGTTTTTATCTTTTTATTCATTTATTGATCTTTACAACTGTATACATATACAATAAATAAATCTGCTAAAACATGATAAAAACTTGTAAAGAAACTTCCCATCGGTAGCACTTTAAAAATTAAATTAATTTAGAAGGTCCCTTGGCCATATTCTTTTCAGAGGCCTCGGAGGGTTGTCAAGAATTGTTTTGTATGAAAAGTTATGAACTAGAGGGTTAGGGTGACCAAAGAGTTTGGAATTAAAAGAGGAGTATCTTAGTCGGACCAAGTCTTCAACAAAGGGAATGTTGAGGTCTTAATGAATAATTTAATTTGTGACATATTAAGGAGCAATAAGGATTTTACGGAGGATTTTGGATTGTAAGGATTGGATGCGGAAAGAATTTTATGTGGAGCCCCAAAGCTCTATTCCACATGTCCAAATGGGTCTGATGATGGAAGTGTATATGAGTTTTTTGTAGAATATTGGAAGTTAAGAGCGTTTGTCAAGTAAGTTATGTAGTAATCGGAATCTGTTAACAGTTTCTTGTCTTTTTAATCTAGTATGAGGATTCCAAGTAAGACGTTTGTCAAGGAGTCCTAGGTAACAGATCTGTTCGACAGGTATCAGTGGAATATTGTTAAAGGATACTGTATGACAGGATGTAGTAGGTTAACGATGGAAGGTAAAAGTAATTTGTTTGGATTAATTTTGATTCTCCAGTTACGACACTATTCTGCAATGGCTGAAATATGTGACTGCGGTGATTGAGAGGTAACAATTGGTTTATTAATTTAAGTTAAATCTACGAATTAAGGAGAAGGAAAGTTATTTAATGTGAGAGTTTATATTTAGTACAATAAACCTTATCCGAATAATTAGGTACTAAACAATAAAGTTCGAAAAATTGGACTTAAAGTAAATCCTGGAAGAGAGCTTCTTCCGCAAATTTCACTTCAACGCCGCCTTCCCGTCCATCACAGAAGATAATAACTTCTTCTAAGATATATTCCTGTGAAGATAAGAATGTCTAAACCCGGATGAGTTCCTTTGAAAGTTGTGTCCTATTCTTGACTAAACAATGCCTTATAATATTACATTAAGGATGTCATTTTCCAAGACTAATTGAAATTCTTAGAGATCGGTAGGATGGTGCAGTGACCCCAGAAGAATTGTTCGAAGAGACAAAAGACCATTATTTCTAGAGGAAAGGAGAATACACCAACTGATGGAAAACAGACTTCAAAATAGCCTGTCAATAAATAGCCATATATATACTTCTTACATATACTTTCACCCTATAGAAGACTCAACGGTAAGGATGGGCGTTAATCGATAGGGTTATATCGATAGTTGTGAGCCATCGATAATTTACAGGGAACATCGCAGTTCTTTACTATCGTTTAAATAATTAATCGATACATTTATGACTTTTTTTTATTGTTCAATAATAATATTTTAAGTTCATTAATGATATTTTAAGTTGATTAATTCAACCTTTCTAAAATGTGAAAGGTAATTTTTTTAAGATGGAAAATCAGTTAACTTATTAGTTATTTTCAATCCCATAGATAGACTTTTTAAAATTATTTGGAATGTTATAAGATAGTTTAAGTTGATTCATAGTTTTAGTTATTATTTTAAAAAAAAGTTTACTAACTTACACTAGCGGATCCAGGATTTAATTTTTTTGTTTGGGGGGGCTTCAACCCGAAAGCTTTTTTTTTCATTAAAGTAACGATAATTACTTTGGAAAATAAGATAGAAACTAAGTACCTATATGAACTGGTGTTTAAGTGATCCCTAAAGCCCTTTTAAATGTAATTACACGAATAATTATACTTTAAGAGATAATTTTTTAATATTTTTTCCGATAAAACATAGTTATATTTTACCATTTTGGGGGGGCTTCAGCCCAAAAGCCTCCCTCCCTCCCCTCCCCCCCCCCTCGTAGATCCGCCCGTGCTAACTTACATAGGCGGGCCTACACGGAGAGAGAGGCTTTTGGACTGAAGTTTCCAAAATATAAAAATCATTATTTTTTTATTGGTCCATATTTATTACTGTAAGTAATCTAAATACATAAACAATAACAATATTTTTAGTTATAATACATATATAACCACTAAATATAACCATGGCTTATGAAAAAAATTAAAGCTCTTCAACTCCATTTAATACAGGCAGTTAGTTTCTTTCATTTTCCCTCCTCTCTCCCTCCCCCTAAGTAATTATAGTTGTATATAGCTGCGGAACATGTGAATAGTGGTAAAGTGCAAAAATCACATTTTCGGAAAAAACAATTGAAAGTTCAGAATTTACACAGATGCGACTAATATCCAGATAACAGATCAGAGAGGGAGAGAAAAAAAAATAATTTTCTAGTAATACCCATAAAAATTAACAAAACTTCGCTTAACACTTTATTTACAGGTGCTACAGATTTAAAAATAAAATATTTAGGATGAAAAGGATGAATCCTCCCCCAAAACCTGAATCTGTTACAATTAACTTATAATAAATATATGAATCCTTTAATCTTGAAACTGTAAATCGAAGGGGAGAGGGTAAAATCGATGATTTGAACTATCGTCTTGCGCTTATCTCTACTCAGCTGTTTTCGATTATACTGGAAGCATTACA